GAAGAGCGGCCCCGGCCCGGCCCGGCCCGGCGAGGCGAGGCGAGGGGAGGGCCCCCGCTCCCGCGGAGCCCTTCCCCGCCATGGAGCTGGAGGATGACTTCGGTGGGGCTCGGGATGGAGCGTCACGGGGGAAAGGGGAAAGGGAAAGGGGAAAGGGGAAAGGGGAAGGAGCCACGTTCTGCTGCTGGCGAGCCCCAGCGTGGCCCCACGACAGCAGCTCTGAGCCTGGCTCTGTGTCCGAGCCAAGAAGGCTCCAGTGGGTTCCGACTATTTAACTAGGCCAATGTTATACGTGGTTACCACATGGAGTGTGCTGCTGGTGTGGGTGGGGTCTGGCCTTTAGGAAGCATCTGAGTGAAGTGACTGAGTTTGGTTAAAGCGTTGCTCCTGCCTGTAGCCGTGGGCTCAGCTGACCCCCGCCATGCTGCGTTAGGATTGTTGTGGGTTTGTGTTGGCATGCGGTATGGCAAAGGGCCAGGGATCTCCTTTGCACATAGTATTGCTGTGGTGCCCCAGCAGCTTTGGGCATTACAGCCTTGTGTTAACTACATCTATTTACCTGATCAAGCCAGCTCCTGTGATTTTTGTGTTTGCTGTTTTACCTTCTGTGGTGAGGGCTTTCCTCTTCCTCCGGTACTCACCTGTCTCCTTCCTTTTACTGGTAATGCACTTGGTCTGATCTTGTGTTGAGCCAGTTCACAGAAAGAAACCACTTCTGATTGCTCTTCCAGGGGCAGCTGAACCAGTACAAAGCTTGTCAATCTTTCGTAATGATGAAGTCTTTAGTTCTCAGCTGTTCTAATAACTAAACTGCCTAATGGAGGGGAGAGGTGCTGACAGCAGCAGCACTGCACAGCTGAGATGGAAAGAAGGATTAAGTCCGTCAGTCCTTCCCTTCTAGTGGCTCACAGCATGAATTCTGCTCAGTGTGACCTGTGTAACAACATCTTAACTAGCTGTCATCCGTGGGCTGATATAGCTCCCTGACCTGGCTGTTGAGACAACTGGGCACGAATGCACGTGTAAGAGAAAGGGATGTGATGGCAGGGGAGCGGCTAAACTGCAGCAGCCCGTATTTAGATCTGTTTAAGCTACTGTGTAATCAAATCCTAAAGGTGCTAAAAGCCTGTGCAAAAAGAGTGGCAGAGCAGAAAGGAAGAAGGAAGCCTGGTCTGACTTCCTTGTGTGTGCTCCACAAACAGACCCGCAGGCAGCAGAGGGGACCCGTGCCTCTTTCTGGCTACTTCTCTTCCTCACTGAGACTATGGAAATGTGGTTTTTTTTAATAGATATATTAATATTTGTATTATATTTTATCTATAGATAGATAAATTTATATCATGTGTGCATGCACCCATGCTGCTTCATTGTTCAGAGCCCAGGTTCTTAAGTGTTTTAGCTGGTCTAGTAACTCCTCAGCTCCTAAATAATTGCATGATTGTCCTGGCTTCAGCTGGGATAGAGTTAGTTTTCTTCTTGGTAGCCGGTATGGGGCTGTGTTTTGGCTTTAGGATGAGAACAATGTCGATGATACACTGATGTTTTGGCTCTTGCTAAGTAGGTGAAGCTGGGAGGGGGCACAGCCAGGACAGCTGACCCAGACTGGCCAAGGGGCTATTCCATACCACATGATGTCATGCTCAGTATATGAGTGGGGGGAGTTGGGCGGGGGAGGGGCAACGATCGCTGCTTGGGGGGATGTGCTGGGCATCGGTCTGTGGGTGGTGAGCAATTGCACAGTGTATCGCTTGCTTTGTATTACTATTGCACTATTATTACTTGTTTTTTATTATTATTGTTATTATTACTATTACTACTCTTCTATTTTTATTTTACTTTAGTTATTAAACTGTTCTTATCTCAACTCACGAGTTTTCCCCTTTTGCCCTTCCGATTCTCTCCCCCATCCCACCGGTGGGGGAGTGAGAGAGCGGCTGCGTGGTGCTTAGTTGCCGGCTGGGGTTAAACCACGACAATGACTTCTGAAAAATTTCACTTAGAAGTCATGTGCACCATGTTAGGCACGCTGCTTCCTCAGAAATGAAACTGAATTGTCTGGCATTCTTCCTCCAGCAAAACTAGCTGTTGATCAAAAAAGATTTGGTTCAGACTGGCAATGCTCCTGAAGGCACTGGTGGGTGTGTCATCATCCCACTGATTCTCCTCTAAGATAGCTGGGAAAGTACTGCTGTCCTCATTCACTTTGAGTAAGTGTGGTTACCTACCTAATATGGTAACTTAAAGAGTTATTATGCTCAATGCTACTGACTACTCTGTGCCTGTTTTGACTAACATCCCAGTCACCCCAAACTTCAAAATGAATTTGTTTGGTTATGCAAAAGAGGTGCCTGCCTTAATGAATGGTTTCAAACTAAGAACTACTGGTTTAACTCCCTAAGATCACAGCCCTGATGTGGTGGTATGGTTTTTTCCCACTTCACTGTGTTAGTGATGCTAGATCTTGTCTCTGTAACTATTTTTTTTTCTCTCTGTTCTTCCGTTCTACTAGATATTTTGGATCCAGACAGATTAATCCAATGTCCATATAATAAACATCATCGAATCAGAGCCTGTCGGTTTCCCTATCACCTTGTAAAGTGTAGGAAGGTAAGCTGGACTGCCAAACATGGCACTGAATGGGAATAATTCTGTGCATGTAAATATGACGCGCATGTTCTCATTCTTGCTGCATGTGCTGGCTGTCTGGAGTAAGTTCCTGACAAATAGCTTTGTTTAGCCTTTATTTCATATAACTGTATTATTTGTTTAGTAATAGCTTCAAGCACATGTGAGTTCACGCAAGACCAGTGTGGCTCTGTTGAAAGGAGATAGATATTCTTCATGGTTAGGTCAGGGAGGAAATTCTGGTGTCTTCCAGCAGCTCACGTGGAGGTCAGATACATTTTTCCACTTTAAGTTGAAGAGAGAACTCAGTCCGAGTTGTGTGCACCCCTTCTGGCTAGTCAGAGTAGAAGTGTTGTGATGTTGCAATTCATTCCTTAAGTGCTGGAAATGCAGCTGCATAGCAGGGGTGGTTTTGTTCATTTGTTTTGCTAATAACTATTTAATGTGCATCTGGCAGAAACTGCACATCCTGGGCTCAGCACATATGGGAGAGGGGTTTTTTCCCATCTCCATCTTTTATGCAGAATTTTAATACAAATAATGTAATAGGAAGTATTCCTTCCTTTCTTCTCTGTTGTCCTCATGGTTTGTTTTCTTTAAACCTCTTAAGTGCTAGCACCTGACTGAGTTTTGGGTTTTTGCTGAGACCTTTTAAAACCCAGCTGTTCCTCTTTAAGTTTACCAATAAGTTTGCCAATATGTTTTTAAGATAGTGTAACAGTGCTGTGCCTTCCAGTTAAGATGCAGTTCTAGGGTGTGTGTCCTGGTATCAGTATGTATAAACAATTCATTTTGGTGCTAGAGCCTTAAAAAAATACTAAGTAACTAGTGAAAGTGGTGGGCAGAGCTAAGTGGCAAGTACTTCCATCTTTCCAATGTTCAAGAGGGCTGGAATTTTCCTTGTTGACCCCCTGCAAATTTTGGCAAGAATCTGCGTGTGGGCTAGGTGAACAATGTTGGCCAGTAAACATTTAACCATGTTGGTTTTGTCCTTGTGGTGCATAACTAATGACCAGACAGTTTTGGCAAGCCTACCTAGTTAGGAGGATGAGGTGAAACAGTGATCACCAATCAGACGCGGTTGGTGTCTGTAAGTCATTACCAGAAGGGCTCAGGGATTATCATCTGATCCATCTGAAGATGCCACTGTGATTATTTGCAGTGGCAAGCGTCTGGGCGGAGATTGTCCCTCTTGCTTGGAAGTTTGTTGAATTTCCTTTGCATACCTTATGCATAAACCCCAATTAAATGCTTCCACCTCCCTCAGCTTCCCATTGCTTTGTGCAGAATGCAGCCCTGCCACATGAATGGGGACACCGCAAGCAGAGCAGGTTGAATCCTCTCAGCTTGAACTGCATTAGCATTGAGAAGCTGCTGCTCTGCAGCCAGAATAGCTTGCTCAAGCTAGTTGAAGCAAATAGTGGACACATGAGGACACAGCAACCCTGGCTGTATAGACTGGTTAATGACAACTGCCTTGGACGTGCCTGCAGCCTGTGCTGCAGTCACGTATCAGTGGTAGTGGAGGAGACGCTGCCTTAAGCAGCGTCTGTATGAGGCACATCTGCCTCAGGTGCAAGCCTGATCCCTGACCAGCAGAGCTGCACCAGCCAGGACCAGGCAGGCACTGGGACAGTGGCAAAGGTGTGCTTTTCCCAATAAAGCCTGCATCATTTGCAGGGGGTGGACTAATTTACCCTAGTAAATTGGCAGCTGAGCACTGTTTTACATGAATGGTAATCCTGTAGCACCAAAGTTTGCAGGTGGAATGCTACCAACTCCCTAGCTGTTTTGAAAGGTTTAAGTAATTTCTCTGCCTTTGTGCCTGCTTATTTAAAAAATATCTGAATGCTTTAAATTTGCCTAACATCTCTCCCCTGTTGTTTTTAAATTAGTTTTATCTGTGCTGTAAACCATGCAGCCATATTGCCAGTGGTGCAGCAAATTGTAGGGAGTTTAGCTGAGGGTATGTTTCATTTCAGTCAGCTCCAGGGTGGCTCAGTTTCTCAGTGAATTGTGTTTTAAAGAACAGTCATGTTAGTTTCCCCATGCATTTTCAGTAAGTGTCTGAACAATATATCGCCACTCCTTGCTTAGCCTTTTTTTTTTTTTTTAAAGCAACATCACAAATATCCTTGTTTTTTTCTCTGGATTAGCAAGAGATAAGTGAACTTGAGGAGAGATATGGCACATGATGTTGGTTTTCCCTTGTCTAGAACTACCCTGAAGTTGCAAAGGAATTGGCCACATGCCCCTTCAACGCTCGCCATCTAGTTCCTCAAGCTGACCTCAGCGATCACATAACAAAGTGCAATGACAAAGGGTTCATCGAGCAAGATATAGGTAAGAGAACCGCCCGTGCTTCGAGATGTTTGTTCACCCTGGGGACTGAGGTCTCCTGTTTGTAAGGGTAGCTCACAGAATAACCAAAAAGTGGGAGTCAAAACTATTGTCTGTAGTTTTGTGTGACACAGCAGCTTTGAGGAAACTTAAGACTTATTTCCTTTGATTTATTGGATAGGTTCACGAGAGTATTGCAGATGCTCCCAGCAGGCCTTGCACGTATTTTGTTACCAGGCTTGTAGAATAAAAAGGTTGTGCCCTAGACTGTGCATGTTGAAGTACCTACAGCAGGAGCTGGGTTGCTTTAATGACCAGACGGACAGGCACTTCTTCTTGTAAAGCTGATCTCCCTTTGTTGAGCCTTGACCAGTGATGCCATGTGAAAAGCTGATTTCTACCAAACAGGTGTCTAAGCTGTGGAAACCCCTGGAGCTGTTCTCCTCCAGGCAACCTGAATAGTTCACTCCCACTGAGAGATGGGGCAGCTCCTCTTCCAGGCTGCTCTGCTGCTGCACTCGCTTCATCTGCTGTACAATTAAGATTTCAGTCTCCTGCCCAGTGAGATAAGGTGGGAGGAGGGCTCTCCAAAACCACCAAAATATTTAGGAAAGCATCCTGTGCTATGCAGTGTCTTTTACATCCACTGCAGTGGCTCTTTAACTATTGCCACACTACAGAGCAGATAGATACTTTTCTGTCTTCTGTAGAGGCTAGCAGTGATGCCTGCATTCATGTAAGCAGGTTTCCTCTTCACTCGAGCATTCTTGCTGCAAAGTTCCGGGGGCAGAGTCTTTTCCTGTTCATTGAAAAAGACGAATTCGAAGTTGCTTGATTTCAGATCAGTACCTGGCTCCTGGGTGTACCTGACCTGTTTGCATTGTGCAGGGTTTCCTCTAAAGCCAAGAGATGTTTTGCAGCTCGATGCAAAGCACTTAATGTGTCTGAAGCAGGACTGACTGCTAGTCACTGAGTTTTCTCTCTTCCTGAAGTGAATCAGTCCTCTGGCTTCCAGAGAGAGCAGATGAATGCTGTGAGCACGTGGCAGGCACCTCCCTGTGATGAAGACTGGGAAACAGGTGAGGAATTTCTCCATCTGCCTTCTCCCTGGTCCTGTCCTTCAACTCCACTTGGGACAGTGTGAGTCCAGAGATCCCGTTCACTTAGGTCTCACTTGTAGGACACCTTGCTTATGCTCATTCCTAAAAACATGCATCTCTCCACCCAGCAGGCTTTTCTTGGTATAGAGAACTATTCAACGTGCTTGCCGTAATTGGCATGGAGACATATTTCCAAGCATCTGCTCCTTCCCATCTAAGCTTTTGTTCTTTATGTGCAATGAATGACAATGGAAACATGATAACTTTTGTGTTTGTCGGTTAAATGACAGTGAAGCAGACATCATTAGATCAACTTTTACTCCCTCTTGAACATGTAGAAATATGAGAAGAGATACTCCTGATCTGATGGTGGTTGCTGGAGTTTCTTAGTTCTGAGCTGCAACATCTGTTTCCTTTTGCAGAGTTGTTGGAGCAGTCAGATTCTCCTTTTGTTTGGGGCATGACCAATTCTGGCATGAACAGGTAATGAATGCGAGCTTGATTCCTTACAACAGTGTCTGGTATAGAGGAATATTGCAGCCTGCTCCCAACCCAGCCTCGATGGCTGGATATGGGCTGACTTTGCTGCTGGGCAAACCCTGGGAGGAGGGATAGTGATTCGCAGTGAATGTTCTTAGGGTGCTGGTTCAGTGTTACTTGCTTTCTTATATGACTTTATGCTGACTTTGGAAATGTGGCCAGGTGCCTCCCTCTGGAGCCTTTTCAAACAGTTACGGAGCTTCTGTTGAGCTAATGGTTAGCTAGCAGTCCCTTGCCATCTCCTGTCACTCAGACTTGGCAGATGTGCTGGTGTTAGGGGCCCTATATTAGCAGAATTCCCCCCCCCCTTGCCCTTTGCAAAGTGTAGTCATGGTTTGGGTTTGGGGGAGCGAGGAGCTTAATGGCCAGCTGTGAACTGGGTGGAGCTGTCTTGACTGGTTTCATTGATCCAACAGTGGATCATGATTGCAGGCTTTATACAAGATGTGATGGCACCACCAAAGTTGCCAATGCCTGTTTTAAGGTTCGTCTAAGCCCATATGCAGCAACAGTCCTGCACCTGACAGCTCTGCAGTTCTGTGTGAGCTCCACCGTGATACAGCTCTGCTTCCATAGTGGGTGACAACAGTGCTATTTTGTTTCACTTGTTACACTTTTTGGAAAACTTTCTAGTGTTTAGAGCATACATAGCTCTTCTGAGCACCACCACCTCCGAGTGGCAAGGTTCCACCCCCTTATGTCCCTGCTCTCTTTCATGCTATAGTAAAATGCATAAATTTGAGCAACTGCATTTGTCAGGAGAAGTAACTGAAGTCTTTCAGTTCCAGTAGCACCTTTGAACAAAAGAATTGCTTGCCTTCAAGAGTACGTGCCCCGGAGTCCTTCCCATACGCCGTATCATGGAAAGGCTGTAAGTACTATGCATGTGGCTTTGGCACTGTGATTTCTGTAGATGGTGACAGCTGCTGAAACCTCTGGCTGCAGCAGTGCTTTATGGCCACTGCTGTGTGGTTGGAAGCGGTAGTATGTAACACCTGCCTCCTCGAGAGCTACTTCTGAAGGAATCTGATGCTTGGGTCATCCTCTGTGTGCTTTCTTTGAAGCCTCCTCTGTATTCTTTATTTCATATTCTTGACAGGCCCTTCATTACAGCAGTCCAATTTAAGCAGCCCCGCTCCCCAGCCACTTTGGCTGTGTCTCTCACAAGTCCGTCCACGCTATCTACACTAACCCCTTTCATCCCCCACCCTCCCCTCCCCCCCGACTTAAACCAAACGATTTCCTTGCTTTGTGCATCTCTGCTCACTGTCAGATGCCGCGAAGTCGGAGCAGGGGTACAGCTAGGGCTGCTTAAACCAGCCCTACTGGGGGAAAAAACTATCAAACTACACCTGGAGGTGGGAGGGAGGGAGCTTCCCTTGTTGAAGTGTCTGATGCTGAAATCACAAACCATTATTTGCCATTAGCAGCAAAGCAAAAGCTTAAAGGTGCTTTGAGGAATGACTGTTTCCCACTTGGAGCAACTAAACCTGGTACTCTTGGGGCTTTGCAGGCATGGCTTTTTCACAAGCCCGTGGCCGTGGCATGCGCC